TCTCAGTATTTGTTAGCATAGAATTCCACATCTGCAGTTATACTCACTCACCATTTAGAGCATGTTGTTACCTTCCAGCTTCCGCTATGTCTATAAGGCCTAACACGTGTTTGAGTGTTTATGCTTATGCAGTCCTATCTTCCCAGGCATCTGGTTATGACTATTCACTATATACTCTATCTTCAAAATCTGGTTGTAGGCATTGTTTGAATCTTATGAACTGTCTTTTTCTAAAAAAAAAAAAAAAAAAAGCAAAAAAACACTTGCTCCTTCTGGCTTTTGGCTTCTCTGATGCACTAAGCACAGCAGAACCACCTTGCTCCAATGTTGGAGATCATTAGGATTCAAAACTAAGCCATAGTTCCCATAACAGCCTGTTTTACCTATTTCTCTTTAAATTGGCCTATCCTGGACATTTTGGATAAATAAAATATAAATATATGACCTCTTATACCTGGTTTTTTTCACTTGGCATAATAGTTTTCAATTTCCTCCATGCTGTACAATGTATTAGTACTTCATTCCTTTTTTTTTTTTTTTAAAAAAAAAAAAGATTTACTTTATTTTTATTGGAATGGTGGATATACAGAGAGGAGAGACAGAGAGGAAGATCTTCCGTCTGATGATTCACTCCCTGAGTGAGCCACAATGGCTGGTGCTATGCCGATCCAAAGCCAGGAGCCTCTTCCGGGTCTCCCACGTGGGTGCAGGGTCCCAAAGCTTTGGGCTGTCTTTGACGGCCTTCCCAGGCCACAGGCAGGGAGCTGGATGGGAAGCGGGGCAGCTGGGATTAGAACCGGCACCCATATGGGATCCTGGGCGTGCAAGGTGAGGACCTTAACCACTGTGCCACCGGGCCGGGCCCTTCATTCCTTTTTATTGCTTAGTAATATTCCATCGAATGGGCATATCACACTTTGTTTATCCATTCATCAGCTGATGAATATTTGGCTTGTTTTCACTTTAGGGTGTAATGGATAAAGCTGCTGTGAATACTCACATACATTTAGGGGGTGTGGACATGATAAACATATGATAGTGTGTTTTCATTTCTTTGGGTTATATATCTAGTAGTAGAATTGCTGGACTATGGGATAACTCTGTTTTTAACTTTTTGAAACAGTTCCAATGTATCTTCCAAAGCAACTGCACAATTTCACAACTCCACTGGCAATGGATGAAGGTTCCAGTTTCTCTATATCCTTGTCAAACTTATTATCTGTATTTCTTATTTTAGCCATCCTAGTGAAAATGAAGTTTTATCTCCTTAGCTTTCCTTTGCATTCTCTTGATGACTGATGGTGAACATCTTTTTATACACAAATTAATCTGTTGTACAACTTCTTTGTAGAAATGCCCACTCAAATCTTGTCCCCCTTTTCATATTGGATTTTTTTTTTAATTTTAAGAGTTACTTATATATTCTGGGTGCTAGTCCTTACCACGTATATAATGTACAAATACTTCTGTGGGTTTTCTTTTCACTTTCTTAATGTTGTCCTTTGAAAAACAAAAGATTTTAATTTCGATGAAGTCACTTTGTTCACCTTTTATTTTTTCACTGTGCTTTTTGGTGTCAAATCTGGATGACCAAAATAAAAATCACAATGATTTACAACCATGTTTCTTCCAAGAGGCCTTCAGGTTCAGGTGTCACATTTAGGACTTTAATCCATGTTTATATACGTTCTGGGACAGGCGTCCAGCTTCATTCTCTTGCAGGGGAATATTGCATTGCCTAAGCATCATCTAGGCATTTATCCCTTTTATCATTTCTTGGCATGACTTTTAATAATAGATTGGCCTTGAATTCTCAATTCTGTTCTGTTGATGTACATGTCTATGCTTAAGCCAGTATCACACAGACTTGATTACTGGAACTTAACAAGTTTGAAAGTGTGAGTCTTGAGTCTGTATGATGACACAATGGCTTAATCTTTAACTTGCAAGTGCCAGGACCCCGTATGGGTGCCGGTTCATGACCCAGCCTACTCCACTTCCCATCCAGCTCCCTGCTTGTGGCCTGGGATGGCAGTAGAGGACGGCCCAAAGCCTTGGGACCCTGCACCTGTGTGGGAGACCTGGAAGAAGCTCATGGCTCCTATCTTCAGACTGGCTCAGCTCTGGCCATTGCAACCACTTGGGAAGTGAATCAATAGATGAAAAATATTTCTGTTTCTCCGCTCTGTAAATCTGCCTTTCCAATAAAAACAATAAATAAACCTTTTTTTTAAAAGGTGTGAATCCTCCAACTCTGTTCTTTTTCTAGATTATTTTGGCAATTCTCTGTCCCTTACATCTGCATATGAATTTTAGGATATCATAAATTTTTGCTAAAAAAACAAAAAGGTAGCTCGATTTTCACAGAGATTGTATTGAACTATATATCAATTTGGGAGATTATAATCATCTTAACAATTTTTGTCTTTAAATCCATAAACACTAATTAGGTCTTCTTTGGTTCTGTGTAATTTGTAGTTCTTAAGGTTCAGGATTTTAATTTTATTTTCCTTCCAATTTTAGTATATGTACTGCTGAAGCAAGCACCTTAATTTTATTTTCAGACTGTCTCTTGCTAGTGTATAAAATATAACTCACTTCTAGCTATGGATCTTGTATCTTGAAACCTCACTGGACTAATTCTATTTTTCTTCTTTTTATGGATTCCTTAGGGTTTTCTTTTTTTTTATTTTTTTTTAAAGATTTATTTTTATTATTTTTTCATTGGAAAGGCGGATATACAGAGAGGAGAGACAGAGAGGAAGATCTTCCGTCCGATGATTCACTCCCCAAGTGAGCGCAACGGGCCGATACTATGCCGATCCGAAGCCAGGAGCCTCTTCCGGGTCTCCCACACGGGTGCAGGTTCCCAAAGCTTTGGGCCGTCCTCGACTGCTTTCCCAGGCCACAAGCAGGGAGCTGGAAGGGAAGCGGGGCTGCCGGGATTAGAACCGGCGCCCATATGGGATCCCGGGGGTGCAAGGCGAGGACCTTTAACCACTTGCGCCACCGCGCCGGGCCCCCTTAGGGTTTTCTAAATGAAAGATTATTCTCTATGCAAATAGTTGTGTTATTCTTCCTTTCCAATCTAGACACCATCTTATCCTTGTTGCCTTGATTAATGACTGGCTGTGTTATTTTGGTGGAATCTGCTTCTTCCTCCACATTTGTATTAATCAAATCAAATAGCAAGTGTTAAGTCCACATTTAAAGAATGATGACAAACTAAATATAGGAAGTTCTTTTAGGGGGCAAGGATGATGATTACATAGTTGATCAGGTTGGCAAGTTTGATGATCAGGGGAATATGAGCGAGACCATTGTCTACACATTTTCATTTTCTTCTTCTTGTATCTGGGGGAAGGGAGATACAAGGGGAGAAACCACACCCAGCTTCCCAACCACCTCAGTACGCAGGAGTGGGGAACAGCCACCCGATGTCACCCCAGAATCCCCATTCTGGAGCACGTTCCAAGGTTCTAGTCAAGTGGTTTGGACAGTTCCAAGATGTTGTTGATATCATTGTTCCAAGGATAAGGAAATCTTTCCAAGGTCAATGGGCTGACATAGTCCACCTCAGAGTCTCCATTCACCCAGAAATTTGCTGTCAAGCTTTTCTGTAATAGTTGATTAATTTGTTCTGCTCTTTCCTCTGCAAACCAACTGGTACTGCAGTCCAGCCTAGCCCTGCCCACCACACGTTTGGCTCTCACATACACCAAGAATGCTACAGCCCAGAGTGATCACCAATAACCCCCACTGGACTGGTCCCCAGCTCTGGTTCCTGTGTCTGCCAGCATCAGGCACAGGATCGACTGGGCCAGTCTGTTCCACCTCCAATTCAGCTCTTGTATACATCATTGAGCACTGAAACCTAACTCAACCCAACCTGCTCTACCCTCCAGCCCATACTAATGCCAGCCGGTGCCACAACCTATCCAGCCAGACCTGTCCCCATTTGGTTCTCATACTCACCAGTGGGAGTTGCAGCCCATCAGAGAGGTGCCCACAGTCTCCCCACTGAACCCACACCCCACCCCAGATCTTGCATTCTCCAGGTGGTTCTGCAGTTTAACTTGACAGAATTTGCCCCCATGCCAGCACTTGCCAGCTGCTGCTGCCATGGCAAAGCCCAACCTGCCTGCCCTTACTCTAGCTCATGCCTGTACCAGGTTCTCCCCCCTGCTCAGTTCATATGCAGGCTAACAGGTATTGTAGCCCTGCCCAGCCTGGTCTTCCCCCAGTCCCAGGATACTACCGAATTAAATAAAGGAAGTCTAGAAGAAGCTTATAAGACAGATAGACTTCAGAATTTCAGAGTAAAAGGCTAAAGGAAGTGAAGATATCTTATACGAAGCAGATTAAATTGAAAAGGTAAAAACGATAAAGAATTGCTGACTGAACTGCTGTTCTGGTTTAGCTGAAGAAAGAGTCCCAGAACTCAGACACACGGTAGGCATGATGGGAAAGTAGACTTTAGGCTAACACATACATACATAAAGTGTAAAGCAGGGCAGCAATGGTACATTCTACTTCATGAAACAAAAAAAGTTTCTCTACTAAGCAGAAGCTTCCATCCTGTCATAACTGGTGTGAGGATGACATCTAAAAGTGGGACTGGTGCAGACAGTCAGCAAGGTTTTTATATTTTCTTTGACAGTCAAGAACTTTAGGCTTGAAGTAGCACTCAGCATAATGCAAAGCACTTTACATGCCTATAAACACACAATGAAAAGAAATGATTTTCATTTCTGGAAATGTTTACAAAGAAACCTTCAATGTCTTAGCAGAGATCCTCTGCACTTGCCATTTGAAAATGTCTTCTTGATTAGTAACATGCCTGGCAGTTTACTTTATAAACCACTGTGGGAAAAGTTTGCTTTGAACATTTACATTCTCCCATTTACTTGATTTAAAATATTGGAGTAATCTATTTTTAAGAGTTCCTCAGGTCGTACAAAAGTTTTTTTTAAATGAAATGATTGAGATCCAGAACTCACCAGAAGAAATCTTGCCAGCACCTTTACAATCAACAGAAAATGCAGCTGTGACTCCGTTGGCTGACCCCAGTTCACCCATGGAAACCTGATAAGGGGGTCTCAGCTTGATTTCCATCTGCATGTCAGACAGATTTATCTTGGTTGATAGAGACCTGGGATTGTTATATCGCTGCTTGGTTCTCTGAATGAAGTTATCTATGCAAAATAAAAAACAAATTGCCTTGTAGTCATTTGTTAATTAAACCATTGGAGCATATGATATTTATGGACAGTAAATTTTATAATCAGTTTATCTTCTCACTCGAAACCGTTCAATTTGTCATGCAATGTCCCCACATTATTTACGTTTAGCGCTTAACGTATCATGGAGTCATCAGTTTCATACTCCAGAGAGTCTCAGTTATAAATAAATAAAACACCCTATCTGAATGTATTATATCCACCTTAAAGGAGTACAGGAACAAAAAACAGCTTTAACTTTCAACCAAACAGTTTTACAAACATTCTTATCTCATGAAATACTAAATTTATCAGATCTACTAGTCTGTAATCTTTTTAAATTTCTTATACTGATAGAACGTATGTTTTAAAACACTAAACTTAATGAAAACAATATTTTCTAGAATTCTTTCAAGTAGAATTTTGTTTTTACTACTCACAACTTGGCTTTACTTTTTCTTTTATATCAGAAGTTGAGAAAACTATTCCTACAGACCTAATCTAGCCTGCTGTTTTTGTAAATAAAGTTTTACTAGAACACAATTATAGTCATTTATGTTTACTAATCCCTGTTCTATATAAAGCAGACTATAAAAGACTATCATATACACACAAAATGTTGAATCTCTGGCTTATACATGTCTCATTGAGAAATTGTGTCCCCTGGGACTAATTCTTTGGGCCAACACAGTCCCATCATGAATATTTTTCTAATAATCATCTAAATTGAGTAAGAAGTTGTCATAACTTAGAGGTCATCTGCCAAATATTTTATCAAATGCAAGATAACAGAACCCACTGCTCCCCAGTACTAGATGGAAAAGTGCTTATGATTGCATGGAGGCAAGATAATAGAAAGGGGGGAAAAAAACAACAATCCGGGCCCTTACCAAATTCAATGAAACAGTATGGTCTGACAGCAGTATTTGTCTTCATCATGTTATAAGTAGTAATAAATTCCTTTTGAAGCTCATCCAGGAAAGAGAAGGCGAGAACATTGGGGTAATTTTCAGTGCACAACATCATGTAGCTCACTCCCAGAGAGCTAATAAAACTATAGTGCAAAAAACATTGGTTTTAAAATTTGAAATTAAATCAAGGTAATTCATTGTTTCACAAGACTGGTTCTATATACCATAAGCTGCTGCTACAGTGGCAATCAAAATTTTAACATTTATTATATATCCAAGGAAAAATTAAAGGAACAAAATTATTTTAAGTTGTGGTTTTCAAACAGCAGGAATAAAATGGAATACAGTATAGAGGGACATATAATACAGCTCTAACACTTTATAGACACTTGTCATTTGGGTTAGAAAGTACAGAAGAGGACATACAAACATAGGAAGGGTGCCAGGTGCAATGGGTTAAGCTGCCCCTTAGGATGCTGGCATCCCACAACACTGTGGCAGTTATAGGCCCGGCTATTTAACTTCCAACCCAGCCCCCTGCCTGGGTCTCTGCCACACAAGTGGGTGATCCAGATGGAGTTCCTGGCTCCTGGCTTTGGGATAGACCAGCCATGGATGTTGTGAGCATTTGGAGAGCGAATCAGTGGATGGGAGAAATCTTTCTCTTTCTCGCCCTTTCAAATCAATTAACTTTAAACAAACAGGCATATACATTAAAATAATTAACCATGTACTAATGGGGAGAAAAAAAACCTTTCTACAATACCACTCCCCCTATAATCAATAAGCAGGGCATGGAACTCAAATTAACCCTTAGCAGTAAATCACTTCAACTTCCTTTCATACCAGTATTAACCTAGCTGATTCAGCTCACAGGCATTTGGATCAACAGTACATTCAGGCTGTAAAGAAGCAATACCGTGCCAGACCCTGCTAATCTAGCACAGCAACCTTTCCTCTAAACCCCGATCCACAATAGATTCCTTGCTCCTCTTTCTCTAATAATTTGGAAGTGGAAATGATTATTCTTAATTTACTTGTAAGAATAAATAAAAAATCAAATTAAATTAAAATAAAAATCAACCAGGCCCAGCACAGTAGCCTAGTGGCTAAGGTTAAAGTCCTTGCCTTGCATTTGCCAGGATCCCATACAGGCACCAGTTCTAACCCCGGCGGCCCCACTTCCCATCCAGCTCCCTGTTTGTGGCCTGGAAAGCAATCAAGGGTGGTCCAAAGCCTTGGGACTCTGTGCCTGTGTGGAAGACCCAGAAGAAGCGCTAGGCTCCTGGGGCTGCTTGGGGAGTGAATCAGTGGATGGAAGATTTTTCTGTCTCTCCTCCTCTCTGTATATCTGACTTTCCTATAAAAATGAATAAATTGTTAAAAAAGTAAAAATAAACAAAAAATGAAGGTTACTCTGTATTTATCACCAATCCTGCTCAAAGAATTCATGCATATGCAAGTAAATAAATATGCATGCTATAAGTGTGTGTTTGTATTCTTTTAAAAGACTACCCTGGGCAGCCAATGATATGGCTTGACAACCCTAAGTAGTATTACTTTCCCTTCTCTTCCTCCTTCCTTTCCTGCTCATCCTTCCCTCTCTTCTTCTCCCTTTCCTCTGCTTCTTCCTCCTCCTTGTTTTTGGTAGACAGATACAGATAGCTCCCATCCCCTGACTTCATCCCTAAATGCCTGTAACAGATCCGGCTGGGCCAGGATAAATCTGGGAGCCAGGAACTCAATCCTGGTTTCCCACGTGGATGTTAGGGACTACTAGAACTGCTCCACTTCTGATCCAGCTCCTTGCTAATGTTCCAGGGAAAGCAGCAGAAGTTGGCCCAGATGCTTGTGCTTCTGCCACCCAACAAGGGAGACCTAGATGGAGTTCCAGGCTCCTGGCTTTAGCCTGGTACTACTCCAATCATTGTAGTCATTTGGGGAGTGAACCAGTGGATAGAACAGGAATATTCTCTATCTTTCTCTCTCTCCATAGCTCTGCCTTCAAACTCAACAATCAAACTTGAAAAAAAAACCTGCTTTTTCAACTAGCCCTGGGGACAGACTGAAAGACAGCCACCACTGTCTCACTGAGGACTGACCTTTCGAAACAGTCTAAAATCAGTGCTGGCACCCTAACTTATGCATACTTTAGTCACCTCATGAGGTTCATTCAGCTCACATTCTAAAGACAATCTGGCAGTTTCCTTTTACCTTAATTAGAGATCTAGCAGGGAGGGGAACATGATTAGCACATACTATTTACTGCCCACACAGTATGAGCCAGCCCTACTTTAAGTCTTTTACATGTTTCATTTCATTTCACTCCCAATAGCAAAGGAGCCCTACTATATCTCCATCCTACAGGTGACAGAAGAGACTCAGGACAGGCTTAGTACCTACTGAAGGGCACACATCAGCAAGCAGCACAGCTAAGATGAACTTAGCTGTAACTCTCAAACTTGAATTCTTGCCAACACACAACTTTCATGTGGTATAAATTAGTCATGTCCTTATCCACCAACAAGTTCTTCACTTTCCACAAGCCACAAGTCAATCCCATTCTTTCTCCAAACTTAAGAATTCTAGAGACACATATCAAAAGTCTATTATGGTAGCCCTGCCAACTTCTCCACTTAATTTTTTTAGCAACTTGACTCTCAGCATTCCAGCCACGGTAACCTCATTTTGGCTTCTCCAGGGTGCCAACCCAATCCCAACCTCCAACACTTCAAGACTGTCTTCTCCACTTGCAATGCTACCAACTCTTTCTCCACCAGGCTCCAATTCTGCTGTGGCTAACTCATCATATGCAGCTCAGTTCTTAGACTTACAGGTCCTGCTCACAGCACAGGCTAAACTCATCCCTCCCACATGGTTAAACCACAGCAGCTGCCATTTCTCTTCATGAACATTTGTCATTTGTGCAGCTGGGCTTATTTGCTAAAATCTCTCTCTAATCAATGAATACACTCTATGAGAAAAGGGATGATTTGAGAATGAAGGGCCCGGCCCGGTGGCACAGTGGTTAAGGTCCTCGCCTTGCATGCCCGGGATCCCATATGGGCGCCGGTTCTAATCCCGGCAGCCCCACTTCTCACCCAGCTCCCTGCCTGTGGCCCGGGAAAGTAGTCGAGGAGGGCCCAAGGCTTTGGGACCCTGCACCCACGTGGGAGACCTGGAAGAGGCTCCTGGCTTCGGATTGGCTCAGCTCCAGCTGGTGCAGCCGCCTGGGGAGTGAATCATTGGACGGAAGATCTTCCTCTCTGTCTCTCCTCTCTGTATATCTGCCTCTCCAATAAAAATAAAAAATAGGGCCCGGAACAGTGGCGCAAGTGGTTAAAGGTCCTCGCCTTGCACGCCCAGGATCCCATATGGGCGCCGGTTCTAATCCCGGCAGCCCCGCTTCCCTTCCAGCTCCCTGCCTGTGGCCTGGGAAAGCAGTCGAGGACGGCCCAAAGCTTTGGGAACCTGCACCCGCGTAGGAGACCCGGAAGAGGCTCCTGGCTTCGGATCGGCATAGTATCGGCCGTTGCGCTCACTTGGGGAGTGAATCATTGGACGGAAGATCTTCCTCTCTGTCTCTCCTCTCTGTATATCCGCCTTTCCAATGAAAAAATAATAAAAATAAATCTTTAAAAAAAAATAAAAAATAAATCTTTAAGAAAAGGGATGATTTCAGTATTGTTCACCACTATATATTTTAGTACTTATAATGTTTCGTAAAGTACACAATATGAGTGTGAAGGTGGCATCATTTATTTATTCATTTAGACATTAATTTCCTGAGTATATCAATGTAAAGATTATCCTGTACAGCCCAGGAGTGTCTATGCAAAGCATAAGTTTAATAAAAACGCTTGTCTAAATGACAGAAGGACAGAATTTCACCTATTTCCTGGTTTTCCCAAAAGGCTTTAGAGTACAGGTTGGCAGTCTTTGCCATGCTTCTTCATTAAAAAGATATGTTCCCAAGGTCACATAAGATTGCCCATCTCTATAATGAGTACCATGAGGCTATAAGGCTCTAACGGACATGACTGCTTTCTTTTATCATCATCGTTACTAATTCACTCAAGCACACACAGACATACACATGTGCCCAGGTAAGGCTTGCAAAAGTCCAAGCTCAGATAAATCATTTTCTTTAAAAATAAATTCTAAGCTGGTGTAGTGGTACAGCCGGCTAAATCCCAGCCTGAAGCGCCAGCATTGCATGTGGGCACCAGTTCGAGTCCCAGTTGCTCCTTTTTGAATACTACTCAGTGCTATGGTCTGGGAAAGCAGCAGAGGATGGCCGAAGTCCTCAGGCCTCTGCAACCATGTGGAGACCCAGAAGAGGTTCCTGGCTCCTGGCTTTAGACCATCCCAACTTTGACTGTTGAGGCCATTTCAGAAGTAAACCAGCATAGAGATCTCTCTATCTTCCTCTCTCTGTGTAAATCTCCTTTTCAAATAAGAATAAATGACATCTTAAAAAAAATAAAAAGCAAATTCTATCTTATACCCAAGACATATCACAACTTATTCCTGAAGTCCAACAAATCAATACATGGCTCTAGACATTCAACTTTATCTTGGATTTAATTTTATTTATAGACTGGTAAAAAAAAAAAGGGGGGGGGGAACTTTTACACATCACCAAACACTGACCTAATGAGAACAATTTTGACCTGATGCATCAAACTCATGCTTAGCAAAATTTCTCTCAGTCAACAATGGAATAGTAAAATAAGCCTAGCAGTCTCTGCCTGCCAGGAGACTGAAACAGACGTACTGGGGATGTACTCGAAGCAGTGCTACAAAACAAAAGATACACAACTGCATTTCTTTAGCATGCTAAATAACAAAGTATTCCACAAACTATTTACCAACTGACCAAATAGTAATTAACATTTGAATTACATATGTGTACATATAATCTGTGTATGTATACACATATAATGTGTACGTATGTGTACCTATAAACACACATATATTCTTTACATATATGTGTATATGTGTGCATGTATGTATTCATATCCTTTACTCTACAAGTGTACCATTACACATAAAGAATGAATTTGTCCTTGGTAGCCACATAGGAAATAGCTTGTTTGGAGAAAGAAATGTTTTCCATTAATACATACCATCCACTCTTCAT